ATATATATATACATATATATGTATATATATATGTATATGTTTATATATGTATATGTATATATATATACATACACACATATATTTACACATAAAATATATATAAATACATAATCCTTACAGTATCTTCCTGCAATTAATCACGTCTTTTTCATTCACAGTGTGGCAGTACTGGATGCTTAGGTCTGACACGATTGTTGTCGGACTGCCAGTCGTGCCTTGTGTTCAGTGGCACTCCCGCTTCTCTAGCCCGTGCCCCCGGTGAATTTGGTTGGTGTGTTCAGAATGAGTCCTGCCTGCCTGTGTCAGGTGAGATTTAGGGGAGGAGGAAAGATGCCAACAGAGAATGGCCAAACCTCAGTGATGTTTGGAGTTAACTGGGGAGTGACCCGACTTTAGTTAGAGCATATTTTTTTGACATAGAGCACAGTGACTTTACGACACCAGGCTGAGAGTGGACAGGCAACTCAGACAGCGTTTTGACTTGACTGTTCGTTGGCGTGCTTTTGTTGGCGTCGTACGGTCACATGTGCTCTTACGTTAAACCATGCTACAGAGACGTTAGAGATCACATCCCTTGCAGCACTGTTAGCTATAAAGAGGTTTTTTTCTTCTTTCTTTTTGTGTGTGCTGACCTCCTTCCTCTCGGTCTCATAGAGCAAAGTGTGTGCCATGTGGACCAGATCTCAGGGGCGTATGGCTGGTGGGGGAAGCGTACTCTTTTCCTTACCTCCCTCCACTCCTGTCGCACCGAGAACTATGTCCCAGGACTGCACCTGCTCACCTTCCAGCAACCCCGCAACGACTCCCAGCCCGACAAGGTACAGGGTTTAAATATCCGACATTTTCTCTTCTGACTTTCTCTTTCATTTTACCTCTTAGATAAGTGATAAAAGCATACTTTTTTTTTTTAGAGAGAATTAAATAAAAGGCCTTAATGACCTAAAGTCATTATACAACACATCCCCTTTGTGTACAACCAAAAATACCACTATAGCAACTACCTGTTTTGCACCTCAATGTTTATTTAATGAGCAAATTGATTTAAAAAAATCCAACTTTCTGTTTTGTTTTTTTTACGACGTAACTCTATTGGTTCGAACCAATCTCAAAATTGGGATGAATTTGTTTTGATATTAGAAAAATCACTTTGACTTTATCTCAAAGGAATCTTATCGCATTATAAAATTAGCGTTCAAAAAGTTTAGCATATGGTCACATCTATCTTGTAAAAAAAAAAAGAGCCTTGTTTCCACTTGGATCCCTTTCTTCCATTGAATTTACACAATGTGTCCAGTGATAAAATCCCATTTCAAAACTTCAGTTAGGTCTGTGTGTAAGTCCTCAATCTTCAAGATCGTTTTATCCAATCAGTTACGTCCAGGGCTCAAAACTTCAGTTAGGTCTGTGTGTAATTGTAAGTTCTCAATCTTCAAGATCATTTTATCCAATCAGTTACGTCCAGGGGAACTGGACTGACTTAGCTTCTTGAAGACTTTTCACCTCTCATCCGGGAATCTCTTCTGGGTTCAGTTAGGGGTCAACAATTTATTCAAAAAGTGTTTCCAATCAGAATCACTGACACTTAGAAACACTCAAAGTCAACTTCTCAAATCTCTGTTTTTCCCTCCTTCTCTATGTTCTTTGAAGCACTTTAAAGGTAGAATCCTGTTTAAAGTACCCGTAGAGAGTAGCATGTATCTTGTTGTGTGTCACCTACACCTGTATCCTTCCTCCTGCGTCTTAAATCCTGCCCACCCCTTTGCCAGGTCTCCATACTGCGCAACACCAATATCATCCTGAGCCCTGCCACAGAAATGGACGTGGCCCTACAGTTCAGGGGCTTTATACACCCGCTTTGGGGCGGAGGCTCCCCGCCCTCGGAGACTGTGTCTATGTGGGCTCGCATCCAGAGGCTCCATTTTGAGGCTCGAATGGCAACAGGTCCCAACTCCAGCCAACTGGTGAGGGAATGTTCATGCTTCCACTCTTGTAATTTTACATTTAAAAGCAGGTAGTATTTTCTGGAAGTATATGAATAGAGGAAGTAGCACTTGATTTCATATTTTTTAGAATATTATATTATAGAATATATATATGTATATGTATATATATATATATATATGTAGATATATATATATATATATATGTAGATATATATATATATATATACATATATATATATACATATACATATGTGTATATATATATATATACATATGTATATATATATATACATATACATATGTGTATATATATATATATATATGTAGATATATATATATATATATACACATATGTATATGTATATATATATATACATATGTATATATATATATACATATATGTATATATATATATACATATGTATATATATATATACATATGTATATATATATATACATATACATATGTGTATATATATATATATACATATGTATATATATATATATATATGTAGATATATATATATATATATACATATGTATATATATATATATATATGTAGATATATATATATATATATACATATGTATATATATATATACATATATATATATACATATATGTATATATATATAAAAAATATTATTACATACATTTTTGGAAGGCTGATTACTTTAATGCGACACCAACAACTCTGAACTTTATGTCAATTCTAAAGCTAATATCAGAAGTCATTTTATCCCATTTTATCCGACTCCTCGTATGTAGGATCTTCCTAATCGTCTTTCCATGTTTGAATGAACCAGGAAGTCGTAGGTCGTTGGGCAGCTCAACAGGAGAAGGAGGTGAAGCTTTTGGCGCGCCCTGATGGAAGCAGACTCTTTTCCAACCTGACCAGGGGGAACCATTATCTCGTGCAGGCGGAGGCTTACCTCAACAACTCCGGATCAGGCCAAACCAGCGAAATGGCTCTGATTTGGAACAGGACTTTGCCCGGAGGAAGTGTGAGTACTGTTGGAGTTAAATTGACATTTTAATTAACAAATCAAATCTCAGGTGTTTGCTTAAATCCATAACCATCAAATCTGCGTGTCCTTCCAGGAAATCTCTTTCCTGTTTTTGGAGCCGTACCGCTCAGGTTCCTGCGCGGGCTATATTTCCTGTCTGGCCTGTCTGTCTGACCAGTCGTGTGGCTGGTGCCCCTCAATGTCCCGTTGTTTTCTTCGAGACAGTCCTGAGCAGGAACCCTGCCTGCAAGGAGAGACTAGTGAACGAACGAGAGAAGGACATGAGCACCATCTGCTGTTAGCTCCTGAGCAGTGCACTTTGTGTGAAGAGTACAGAGACTGCTCTTCTTGCACCCAGGTACCGTCTTAGTACTTCAACAGTCAATGCTGTACTATCCCCTCTACTATCGCGGTAGTTGCGTTCCAAGACCCACCACAAAAAAAAAATCGCAAAGTAGGCGATATAGTTATTATATTATTTACTTATATATATGTATGCCTATATATATATATATATATATATATATATATATATGTATGTATATATATATATATATATATACATACATATATATATATATATATATATATATGTATGTATATATATATATATATATATACATACATATATATATATATATATATATATATGTATGTATATATATATATATATATATACATACATATATATATATATATATATATATATGTATGTATATATATATATATATATATACATATATATATATGTATATATATATATATATATATACATATATATATATGTATATATATATATATACTGTACATATTAAATACACGTAAAAGAGCGACAACCGCCTGACTCTGGAGGCAGGAACAACAACATATGCCCTCCTGTGTCCAACTTAGATCATTACCTTAAATTAATTAAGTGCTCGCCGTATACTGTACGCGTTTTTTTTTTTGTGTCGCGAGATCGGATTAAAAATCCTCAATGTACTGAAGGAGCGAAAGGGAAACCGCGATATAGCGAGGTAACACGGTAAATCATAACTGTCAATACAGTCAGATTTATTATTCGTGACGTATACAGTACGATTCCTGCCATATTTGCAGCCCAATAAAAAAAAGTAATTAATTCTGTGGCCACAATGTACGTCTGCTGTTATGTCAATTAATGAAACTGAAAGTAACGTTAATGTTATAACTCAAACGATTGGAATGATGATGATCTGTGTTTGCAGTGTTTCATCATTATGTTTAAATGCCTTATTCTATTGTTTATCTTTACAGATAACAGATCTTTTTAGGAATCCTGACTCTGGAGGCAGGAACAACAACATATGTCGTCCAGTGTCCAACTTAGATCATGACCTTAAATTAATGCTCACCGTATACTGAAGGTGTTTTTTTTTTTTGTGTCGCGAGATCGGATTAAAAATCCGCGATGTACTGAAGGATCGAAAGGGAAACCGCGATATAGCGAGGGAACACGGTAAATCATAATCATAATCAAAATCTGAAAGTAACGTTAATGTTATAACTCAAACGATTGGAATGATGATATTCTGTGTTTGCAGTGTTTCATCATGTTACATCATTATGTTTAAATGCCACGTTCTATTGTTTATCTTTACAGATAACGGATCTTTTTAGGAACGCTTATAATAATTGCAGACCGTTGTTTGACCTATGCAAAAAGCTACAGGGCATTGACGATTTATGATTTTTTTTTTTTTAACGTCAAGTTCTTTTGATTCGTTCGTTTTCGTTCCGTCAGTGCCCTAGTAGTTACAGAACATGGGTTGTTTAACAACTGTTGACCGGTGCCAATATTGTCTTTGTAGGACCCTTACTGCGAGTGGCACATAAATTCCAGTAAGAAGGGTGACTACCAGTGCAGTAGGCGGGGGAGACAGGATGGATCGATACGCGACCCAAAAGGATGTCCCAGAGTCTGCAATCAGTGAGTCACCAAATCAAATGAATAGGGCTGTTCAAGTATGGCCAAAATCATAATCACCATTATTTTCATTCATATTGAAATCACCTTTATTCAAAATGATTATTAATTGATCTGAGAGTTTGCTTTTATTTTATTTTTCAACTTTAAAATAGATTAGAAAAATGTGAAAAAGATGTCTGGCTAGTTAGACCATAATATGTTTGTTTACATTTTTAGTGCACTGTCAAAAAAAAAACAAAAAAAATTGGATGCAATTATTTGGGACAAAAGTGAGTATATTTGCAGAGCGTAATGTGTCAAAATCATTTTTTATGTTAATCTTTTTTTTTTAATTACATTATTTATGCTGTTGATTACTACCAGATAACTATTTCTTCTCTTCCGCTCTTTTTCATGTATTGTTTGTTTAATCAAAGGAGAAAGACGTGTGACGAGTGCCTCTCGAACTCCAGCCAGTGTGCGTGGTGTGAGTCAGCCCAGGCCTGCTTTTATTTTGCTGCCTACCTCACAAAATACCCCTACGGACAGTGCCGAGACTGGTATGACAGGTAAAAGAAGGATATTTCTCACTTTGATTTAACGTCAAGTTTT